TGTGTAATAATTAGTCTAATTAGATTATTAGATTAGTTAGCTAGCTTAGCTTAGATGTAGCTTAGCTTATTATTTGGACCCTCCGTCGAGAGGGCACGATGTTGTAATAAGTGTGCGTGTGTGTGTGAATGTCTTCCAACTCCACATCTTTCTCCCTTTTACTTAACTGCTTTCGATGGTTAGTTTTAAGGCATATTTCAATTAGCATTCTTACGCTTGCATGCGTGCATCATTCATTTGCCTTGCATGCACCGGGCTCGGTACATCATTCAAACTGCATTGTATTTCAATACATTTACTTGAATACGTGTTTAACAACTTGTTATCAAGTGTTGCATTCATATACCATTTTAGATAGCTGAGCATATTTTAGTTGCACGTTGCATGTGTTGTATTAGGCACTATTGACATAGCTAGGATCATGCATTGATTTCTAACATAGCTTCTGTTTTGGCTCGGAGTACACTGTGAGTGTTTATGCTTTAGCATCCTAGCTTGTGTGTAAGTGACTGCCATGATAGCATGCTTGCCATGAGGCTAACTCTAGGTGAGTAAATTCATGGATTTTAGTTTGTAACTTGGTGAATTCAAAGTTGAATGGTGATCAAGAACATGAATTGAATTGATTATGATAAAAAATGAGTTGGTTTTGCTGAATTGGAAGGCAATGTACACATGCATGTAGAAAATTGCCATAAATTTGTATGTTTGAGCTTGAAATACATGATTCATGTTGAATCTTTGATTGAAGTTCATGCTTTTGGTTATCTCTTCATCATTTAAATTGAGAATGAGAGCTATATCCCACATGCATGTACAATTCATAAGAGTATGAGTTTTGAATACATGAAATTGTTATATTAGAAACAAGTTTGGTGTAATTTGAGGGCATGCATGTAATTAATTCATGAAATTGAGCTTCATAATGTGATGAATTTGGTGTTGTATCATGTTAGTAAATGTGTATGTGAAGTTTGAGTCATAGAATGCAAGATATGTTGATTTGGATACTTGTTTGAAGCTCAACATGGTTGCTGGAAAACCCAGAAATTGGCATGTCCGCTTGAGTAGGGAATGTGCCGCTCAAGCGTGAAATGCAAGCTCCCAGCAGTTTTGCAGTCAGTGATGTCCGCTCGAGCGGGGACATTCACGCTCGAGTGGGGAGCTATGTAGAATGACTTTCAGCTCGAGCGTCCTAGTTCACACTCGAACGTAAAAATGAGGCAACCAATATTTTTGCAGACCATGAGAGCCCGCTAGAGCGGCGGAACCCACGCTCGAGCGGGGATCCCTGTTTCAGAAAATTTATAAGGTGTTCTGTGTTTCATTTTCTGTTCTCTTTCACTTCTAAGTACTCTTAGGCATGCATTGAGCATTATGAATGAATTAAAAGGATAAGAAAAAAGCCTAAGAGAGACGTATGAATTAAGAATAGATTGAATTGTTTGTGACCCATTGTGTTCATGGAATGTGTAGGGTCGAACTCCAAGGCAAATCATCCAGCCGATCATTGTAAGTAATATCTTAATAAAGATATTTGAAGTATGTTATTTGTCCAATTGCTTTTTTCCTTATAAGTCTTGAAAGTTTGTTAATTTGAATTATAGACAAATGTTTGCTATGCCATATGGTTGGGCCAAAGGCCGTATGACACGAATGAATGGGCCAGAGGCCGTATGACACGAATGAATGGGCCAGAGGCCGTATGACATGAATGAATGGGCCAGAGGCCGTATGACATGAATGAATGGGCTAGAGGCCGTATGGCATGAATGAATGGGCCAGAGGCCGTATAACCTGAACAAATGGGCCAAAGGCCGTATGACACGAATGAATTGGCCAGAGGCTGTATGACATGAATGAATGGGCTAAAGGCCGTATGACATGAATGGATGGGCCAAAAGCCGTCTGACATGAATGAATGGGCCAAAGGCTGTCTGACACGAATGATTGGGCCAAAGGCCGTCAGACAGGAATGATTGGGCCAAAGGGCGTCGGATATGAATGAGTTGGGCCCTAGGCCGTTTGATGCGTTTGGAACTGCAGTCACTTGACCAATATATATATATACTAGATAGAAATATGAATTGGGCCCAAGGTCGTCTGATGTATGTTGTTCTAAATACCGTTCGTATATCTTCTTTATTTGATATTATTCACTAAGCTTTCGCTTACGCTCATTCATGTGCCTGTAGGTGAGCCAAGGGAGGTCCAAACCCAGCCTCAGTGAAGTTTGTGTGAAACAGTCAAGGTTTTGAAGAGTCAGCCCAAATGTCTCATGCACGAGACTTGTCTTCGCTTCTTTTGTTCTGTTAATGTGGTTTGTTATATTGACGAAAACATTGGATCACTTTTGTATATAAACTTTGGGTTTGACTGACTTAGACTTAAATGATCTTGTATGTATAGAACTTGGTGTTACTACATATTTTGACGTGAGTTATTAACATGCATATGTATGGATTGTTATGTTGTGCCATGTAAGCATGGCTCTATGGACAAAAGATTGAAATTGCTTCCGTTTGGCCCCTTTACTCTGTTAAAATATATTTGATTCGGTTTGAGGCCGTAGGTAATCCCTTGATTACTAGCCGGTTATGACCTTAATCCATAGGGGCGGGTTCAGGTCATGACAATTAGCATATTTCTCACAATATGAACAAAGTTGTATAGGTTTTTGTTGGTTTATTTTTCCTACGAAGGAAAATATCATAAATGCGAGTATGCCAGTAAGGATTGAAAAATCCTTACATATTAAATTCAAGCCAATTATCAAGCAATTGCGTTGACAGTTCTTTTGCTTTAATGAAGAGGACTTTAAAATTGCCAAGTGTTAAAGAAAAGAAAAATTAAAAAAAGGATGGAGAACGAGAAAGATGATTGAGTGAAAAATCGGGGTGATTGAGTGAACAATCAAAGTAACAATTACTTACCTCTACTCCTATGCTTTGAAAAGGAAGTGCATAAAATGCATCGAAAAGAAAGTGTTGAAAATAAATGCTTCGAAAAGAAAGTGTGTAAAATAAAATGTAGGAAATTTAAATGACAAGAAAAATAAAAATCAATTGTCTTTGATTTAAGTTCTGGATCTCTTTACAATGTAGCCATTGATGGCTATTTATAGAGGGAAAAAAATACAAAAATAACTACTTAGTAACTACCCATTCCTCCCATCTTCAACTTCTAAATGAACAAGAGGATGCCATGTGTTCTAAAAATAATAACAATAATAATAATAGGAATATTTTATTTTGCCAACATTACCCCCATGCGGCCCTTAAAAATGATGTTTACTTGAATTTTGAAAGGCCGAACCAGGCACACATTGTCATTTTTGTGCCATAAAAATAAACAATTGGCCATCAATTTGAAAAGATAAGCCATTTTCAACCATCGATTTAAATGCATAGGCTTTTCCTAGCCAAGTCCAGCATTTCAAATGGCTAAGTTGTTCTTTAGTGCATCCAACTCATCAAAACAATGCTTAAAGATGTTGTTTTATTAGTCATTTCATCAAAATTAAATTTTGATGTGAACCACAAATCCAAAAAGGATTTTGAACACCAAGAACCATAGTACAAGATGGCCTTAAAAATTCAGATTCATGAACATTAATGAGTTGTTCCATTTTAGCCATTAATAGCTTATAAAAATCTTTCATAGACATTTTATGCCCATGGTTTGATTCTCTAAGAATGGATTTTTCAACCTCCCGAGTCTTATATGAAACATTATTTTTAACCATGCTTGGCTCAACAACATGCTTTTTAGCCATGTTATTTTCATAAATTGGCTCTTTAAAAATGAGTTTTTTGACCCCTCGAGCCGTTGATGAAATCAACTCTTTGTTTTTGCTATTTTCAACTATGAAAAAATTCTGAAAAAATTCACCAATTTCGGCCATTAAAGCTTCAGTTAAAGACTTGGTGGTGAGAGTTGACAACTCATTATTCCATTGGCGAATTTTCATATTAAGTTGATGAATTTCTCCAATTAAATGGTGTCTTTTTTTTCATCAAATAATATTGTAAGGGATGAAAATTTATTTCACCAAGAAAATGGATCTCTTCTTGAAGATCCAAATTTTTTTGTTTACGCCAATAGATTTCATCTAGGCTATTTGAAATGGATGAATCTAATTCATTTTTCATTTCTTACAGTTGACGTCTCACTGGGCGTGCCAAAAATTGTTGGTTTATTTTTCTTATGAAAGAAAATATCATAAATGCGAGCGTGCCAGCAAAGATTGAAAAATCCTTACATATTAAATTCAAGCCAATTATCAAGCAATACGTTGATGGTTCTTTTGCCTCAATGAAGAGGACTTCAAAATTGCCTAGTGTTAAAGAAAAGAAAAATTAAAAGAAAGAGGGAGACCGAAAAAGATGATTGAGTGAACAATCAAAGTAACAATTACTTATTTCTACTCCTATGCTTTGAAAAGGAAGTGCATAAAATGGTTCAAAAAGGAAGTGCTGAAAATAAATACTTTGAAAAGAAAGTGCGTAAAATAAAATGTAAGAAATATAAAGACAAGAAAAATAGAAATCAATTGTCTTTGATTTAAGTTCTGGATCCCTTTATAATGCAGCCATTGATATACAACAATAACTGCTTAGTAACTACCCATTTCTCCTATCTTCATCCTTGCCTTGCCATTTGTCCTTCCACTCATCCACTTTGTCCTTCATGTTCTCCATCATCTCCATAACTTCTTTTAACTTCCAAATGAGTAAAAGGATGCCATGTGTCCTGAAAACAACAACAACAACAACAACAACAACAACAACAACAACAACAATAATAATAATAACAATAATAATTTATGGTACCAACAGTTTTTGAGCCAAAAAAATGAAAAAAAAAAATCGGCGAAGAATAACTGCTTCCCTTATTTGGTTCCTTCACTGAGATGTCTGTCAAGATCAAGGCTCCATCTCAAGACCGTGACATAGATCACCATCCAACTCGGCCAATTGGGAAGATGAAGATATAAAATGGTTCAAAAAGGAAGTGCTGAAAATAAATGCTTCGAAAAGAAAGTGCATAAAATAAAATGTAAGAAATATAAAGATAAGAAAAATAGAAATCAATTGTCTTTGATTTAAGTTTTGGATCCCTTTATAATGCAGCCATTGATATACAATAATAACTGCTTAGTAACTACCCATTTCTCCTATCTTCATCCTTGCCTTGCCATTTGTCCTTCCACTCATCCACTTTGTCCTTCATGTTCTCCATCATCTCCATAACTTCTTTTAACTTCCAAATGAGTAAAAGGATGCCATGTGTCCTGAAAACAACAACAACAACAACAACAACAACAACAACAACAACAACAATAATAATAATAACAATAATAATTTATGGTACCAACAGTTTTTGAGCCAAAAAAATGAAAAAAAAAAATCGGCGAAGAATAACTGCTTCCCTTATTTGGTTCCTTCACTGAGATGTCTGTCAAGATCAAGGCTCCATCTCAAGACCGTGACATAGATCACCATCCAACTCGGCCAATTGGGAAGATGAAGATATATACACAATCCAAGAAGTAGTGGATAGCTAATCAACTCGATTCTTTTCTGGATCCACTTTAACTAAGAAATTTTTGTAAAAGATATAACCATGAAAATGTAGACCGTGATCAAAGACAAGACAATGAAGTTTTTACTATGTAATAATGATAGAAAGTCAAGCCAAGTTTGGTAGGATTATGAGATTTTACCTCTTGCACTTTGTTTCCTGATCAGGCAAGTAGCTTGTATTCATTCGATAACATGGATGCCATATAAACCTGCCAAAAAATTGATTACCAGCAGTTAAAGTAAAGTCTGACAAGAAACAAGTTTCTTGGGAGCTAAACATAAGCATAAGCTGAGCTATGTTATGTGGACTCGGGTACAAATGTCGAGTGCAGGTATGTGTGTCGGATTCATCTCATTCTGGCAAGGACACCACAAAAGGCTATATTTCATATTTCTTAATAATATCTTTTATTTTTTAAGAATAAAATGATGTTTACAAACTAAAATATACCATTTAATGTATGTACAAAATGAAAGTTTTATGCGTAGTTATGTAATAAACTCGACTATTTATACATACTTCTTGGGTGAATCTCCAACTAGGCATGCCGGATACATATCTTATACCCTTATCCAAACGTCAAGTGTCCAACACAGATACTTTACAAATTTAGAAGAGTATCAAAGGAATCATGATCACCAAATAGCTTCCAAGGCCTTAATTAATGGATTTGGCTTCCATAGGAGAGGAAAGCAAAATATTTAAAATAGTTAAAAAAAAAAAGAAAAAACTTTCCCAATTCTGAAAATGATATTTAAGTGCAAACAAATTTTGACATAGATTACCATTGTTTCCTTTAATGACAAAAAAAATACGTTCAGGTGAAAAATCCAACTGGTGAACTTTTGCCTCCACGATTTGTAACCAAAAAGAGTTTCACAAGAACTTGAATATTATAGAACATAACAATAAATATAGCAATATGATATATTATGATATAGAATTTCAATTTATTTATCACAATTCTATTCTATATTATTCACAATTCTAATTGGTTAGTAAACTCAAATACCTTACCAACTCTGAAATATGATGCATGGTCTTGTGTCGGGTGAATTAGTGTAGGTACTCTTTCTACCTACATTTGGGTATTGGGTCAACTATTGAAACACAATAATCTGTTGATAAAGAGATAATCTCATGGTCTTGGCCCTATAACATGGAGATATTGATCCATAAATAGAAAGATCATAACAGTCAAATGATCAGTACACCAATCCAAGAACCCCAATCACTTCCTAAATATTTTGGGGTTCACATCTCATTTTGTGAAGCTAAGACCATGAAATCACAAGACTTCATTGGAAAACATGTTTTTAAAGTAACATGGTCAACAAGTTTTATATTTACCTCGACAAAAATGCCAAAGCAAGTAATCTTTTTGATATTTCAATGCAAACAACACTCTTCCATGTAAAATTTAATTACTTAGATAAAACTATTATAACTCTTGTTAATATTTTCCAAATATATTCTCATTGCTAGCTGCCTAATTCTTTCCTCCATTCTTCACAAACAAACTTTAATCATTGTCCCATAACAAAACTATGCAATTAAGGCCTTGCTGATATGGTATTTAAAGCAAAAGTAAGAGCAAGCAAGAAGCATCTATAAGTTTAAACTATACCAAGTTTCTTACCATGACACTTTTCCTTTTCAATGACAATTCAGTTCATCTCACAAAATTTAATCTAACATTTCAACCTCTCATTCTGCAATTCTTTTTTTTTTTTTTTATTTTTGGAAATAAACTCGAGATTACAAATAATAATAATAACAATGCAGAGGAGCACACACTCGTGCGTGCTCTCACAGAGACATAGATAGAACAATCAAAACTCAACCTGTAGTTCTATGGTGAAATTTTGATCAAGCAATTAGAGCACATCACAATAAAATTTTAGAGAGAGAGAGAGGGACCTTTAATCGTTTATGGAGAGAGAGAGAGAGAGAGAGGCTTTGAGGTCCTTGAGGATCTCCTAATGCAAGCGCTCGAGATGGCAGTTGGCGGAGTCCAAGAGTGAAGAGGCCAATTCCTTCAGTTTTAAGAACAGACTTAGGGTTTTCTGATGAAAAGATGTAGACGATGCTACAGCGTTCTTGCTCTTGTTGCCATTGGTGTTGTTCCTCGAAGAAAGAGTCAGTGTTGAAGAGGCCGTTATACTACATAATCAACACAAACATTACACCGATAAATAAGCATTTTCGAAGAACAAATGCGAACAATAGATCGAAAACCAAATCAATGAGACTGAAATTGATTAATTGATCAAACTTGGATACTGAAATCGCTATCAAGAGAGACGCTATGAGACTCCTCGGGGACGAAATCAACAAACCACCGATTAAAAGTGTAGATATGGAGTCTCCGAGATCAGATTAGGGATCAAAATCAAAAAACCACTGATTCTATAGAGAAGGAAATTAGGGATTCGATCGAGAGACAGAGAGAGACAGAGAGACAGAGCCTTTGAATGAGATCCCGACTATTGAAGTTCAAAGAATGAAAATAAAATAAGATAATGTATTAGTTGAGTTTATTGGGGACCAACAAAGATTATAGGTAAAAAGTCACTAATCCTTTTATAACTAAATAGATTTGTCTAAAAAATGTAATAATATGGTTAAATATACTTTTTTAAAATTTCTTCATTTTGTCCTTAAAAGTATAATTTTTGCAGATAAATTATTTGTCCCTAAAAATTTGTCTCTAAAATCTTAATTTCTTGTAGTGTACAAAATATTAAACCTTAAACCCTATGATTCTATGATTGAATTATTTGAACGTACACTTTTTCTTCTTCTTTATGATCATCAACACATCATTTTCTTCATCGTTAATTTAAAGTTTTTTTGACACGTTTTATTCCAATGTGTAGCCTGATTTAATTGTGCAGTGGAGATTCTAGTTGCATGGTCAAAAGTTATGACTATGTCAAGGCTAGAAGGAGATACAAGACTAGTTCAATACAATATCGACTTAGGAACATTCATGTCTTACCCACATGCTATTGGCGCAGCTGCTTACGTGAAGTCATTCCACCTGAAATGGTCTTCTACAGCTATTAAGCCCGTTCTAATGGCAACTGGTAAATATATACAACAATTTGTGAATCTCAAAAACTTTATTTGAAAAGTAATTGGAAAATGAAATAATCTATGCCATACCCTTGAAAGAACTTGTGATCATGGATATCTTATAATAAGCAACTGAAAGAAAGAGAAAGTTGTTCAAAACCACAAATTGAATTATTCTGAAAGATAAAAGGTATTTTCTTATATGAGAAACCTTCTTTGATCAAATTTAGAATCCTTTGTTCAGGTGTGCGAAAGAGAAAATTTTCCTTTTTAATGTTCAAAAAAATAATTCTATATAGAAAGAAAAAAAATAGAAAAGTTCCACATAAAGTGGAGCTAACAACATTACATTTGTCTTGATGCTATGCATTTCTCTAAAAGAAAAATTATGTGCCTACACTGATTGGCCTCCAAAATAACCATCACGTTATAAAGTTGGACTCATCAATTTACATAAAAAGAAGATACAAGTTTTGTTTTATTTTCTTTATGAACTTAGTTTCGCACGCCCTTGACAAATTGTTCTATTATACATCTATTAATATTGCAACTAAAAGAACTTACCTTTCTCTTTTTGTTCTTCATAGCTTCTCGTATGAGTGCAGAGACTAACAATGATGCTGAGTTCGCATATGGGGCAGGCTATATAAACCCTGTAAAAGCTGCAAATCCTAGTTTAGTCTACGATATCGAAGAGGCAAATTATGTGAGATATTTATGTGGATAAGGATATAGCAACAAGTCATTACGTCTTGTTACCAGAGATAATAGCAGTACTTGCAATGAAGTCAATAATGGAACCATTGTTGGAAAACAATGATTTTGTGTTGACTTTAATGCAATATTAAAGTGGGTGCCAATTCTCAAGTGAGGTGGATTAAAGTGGGTTTAGATTCTTTGTACTGAAATCTTTACACCACGAAAAGCATGACCAAAAACCATTAAGATTTGAATGAGAAATTGACTCATTAAGTTGGCCTCATGAAAGAGGTGTTGGGAAAGGTGTAAAACCTTCTATACCACATTGATTATAGAGGAGAGCATTGATGGGTATTTAAATATCATTTTTTTCCTAAGGGTGTGAGCCCTTTGGGGCATCCAAATTTTTCGAAGGAAGGGAATTATGGATCCTTCAAGGATGGACTTGGGTCGAGACTATAGCCCAAGTTGGTTATGCAAAAATTTCTACACACGCGCGCGCCGCCCGCCTGTTCTCCTGGACAAGGCCTAGTCTGAGTCCGTGATCTGTGGATTAGGAGTGGGCATGGTCCGGATTAGGGTAAAACCAGGACCAATCCGTTATCTATGGTTCCTGAAAAATTGGAACCAATCCAATCCATTTAAATCGTGGAACCAATCCGAACCAATCCATTTAAACATGGATCAGATTGGTTTAGGACCACGGATTCACATAATTAAATTAATATATATGTATATATATATATAACATTTTAATTTCAATAAAATATCATCTTCTAATGTGCGATCTTTAGTAGATTTAATTTCTTTTAAATTATCATATTCAATAACACTAGTAGGTTGACTAAGAACATCTCTAATTTTGTGAGCAAAAAGATTAGGTAAGCCATTAATAAATTTTTCTTTCCAAAATGATTTACTACAGTCTTCTCTTAACATTACTCTAGAGGTAAAAACATCTTTATACCATCTAAAATCACTTAAGGTTGGACAGGTAAGATTACTAAGTTGATCATGTATGCGAGAATATATATTAGTAGGGATACCGATGAAATGTCTAACTATGGTATAGATTACAAAGTTTTATTAAATGATTTTGGTTATTTAGTGCATTCCAATTTTGTTGTTAAATTTTGATCATATCTGATTTCGTAATCCATTTTCTTCATTCTACTTGCTGCTTCCGCCTTTATGGTATCAGAGCCAAGTTATGTTGTTATCTGTTTCTAACTGCTTTGCTACTTCTGATTAATCAATTCCATTGTTGATTTGATTACTCTGGTTTTAGTCATCTTAATCTGTCTATAATTCTATCTGTGTCTTTCCACCTAGCTAAGTCACCCACCTTCGTCCCTGTCCTGAGTAAGTCCTTAGAGTTAGGCAGTGTTAGACTTAGGGGTCTTCCGAATAGGGTATGTATGGATGCGGGTATGTGAAAACATGATAAATTTAGACAATGGGTAATCTGTTTTCTTGGAAATTGTTGAGACTTTGATTAAGTTTTAAGGTAATAATTTCATCTTCTAATATGCGATCTTTATTTTGTAATTCTTTAATAGTTTGTTTAATCTGATTGATTTCATGTTGTAAATCTTGGAGAGTAATTTCTTTGTGTTTATTTTTAAATCTTTCTAAAGTTTTAGATAAACTAATTATGGGTTTATCAAACTTAGGTTTTGGATCATGATTGGTCAATAAAGATTTTAATTTATCAGTGTACCTCTTTTTTAATTCTGGATCATCTAATCGACTAATTAATTCAATAAGAGCAACTTCTTCTGATTCTAAGAATCCTTCACAGTCTTGTTACAGAGTCAGAAGAAGAGCAGCAACTCTTGAGATTGCAGACATCTTCTGATTTTGTCATCTGCTTTAAGAGAGAGAGAGAGAGAGAGAGAGAGAGAGGGGGAGAGAGAAAGAAAAAAAGCAAAGTAGCTCAAGTATTAATCTAGGGAAAAAATGGAGCTCAAGAATGCTTTAAAATAATAACAATGATCTATATAATATCTATAAATTCATTTTAAATTCTGACAGATGATAGTTAGGTGCTAAACAGCCAAAATTCATAAGCCCAAGCATACAAAGCAACACGAGCAATATGATTATAAGCAAAATAGAGAGAAAGTGTTAAGCTATAAACAAAAGAGTAATTTACGTTAACAATCTACTATAATAGAGAAAATGTCATAAAAAATTAGAGAAAAGAGAGAGAGAGAGATTTTGAGCACAACTGAATTTGCCACAAGCCAGTGGTGTTTGAGGTATAAGATAGATGTCAACAATCTACTATAACTCTCAAAAGAATCAAAACCAAAATCAATGTTCACTTTAATACGTTAAATATGAATTTTTCAACCAAAATCATCTACATGTCATACACATTTACTTTCCCACCCCGGGGCCAATATTCACCTTCTTCTAGTTTTCATTTTGTACATTCTATAAATTAAACAAATAACTCAGAGCAGCTACTGCTTCTATGGAGAGCATTTGGCTTCAAGATACCAGTAAATAACTAGCACAGAAAAACCACCTAGAAAAACCACTTAGAAAAACCACCTAAAAAAACCACTTAGAAAAACTAGTAAATCACTTAGATAAACCACTCTAATGTTGCCTGCCTATACACTAGCACAAAACTAAAATAAACCACCTTCTTCCAATAAAAGCATTTTCAACACAAATTAAAAAACAAGAACTTTCAAACGCAGTTTAGTCCTGACTAATTGGGAGAAATGCTCTTTCAATTTGTTAATTATCATGTAGCCAGTTTCAATTTTAAGCACATTACGGTTCATCAATCACATATGAGTGAGCTAGAAATGCAACATACAACAACATATACAAAAAGATTAGACATGAGATTACTCAATATGATAGTGCCCTGCTTGCTAAATTGATAAATTCAATGCTCTACTTATCATCTTCTACGCCACAACAAGGAATCATATTGTTGAAAATGTTTTTTTCTTCTTTTTCTTTTCTTCTTCGTATCTAGGCAGACCAATGACTAAAAAAAAATATACCAACACCGAAAATCTCCATCACCAAAATTGTTCACTCTCACATTTATATACAATTTTTAATAATCGTAAGAGTTTTGCTCTCCATAAAAATAGTTGAACAGATTTTTTATTAACCATTCGGCATCACCTAGGTAGCAAGGATTTAAACTTTTAAACAATTGCCTATAACTTGGTCAAGTTAAATCTGCTGCTATACTCCTGTCAATAGGTGACACTCTTAGCCCACCAAGAAAGTACAGAAGAAATCAAGCTCAAAGAAAGGAGAAAAAGAGAAGGACGATATTGATGAAGACAATGAGATTGTTGAAGAGAAAGAAGTAACTGAAGAAGAAATCAAAGAAAGTGCTGACATGGAATTGAAAGATGTAATGGAGGACGTGGGAGGCCATAGTAATGTGACACCCTAAATATTTAATTAATACCACACCCAACCACAATCAATAATAATAATAAGAAGAAGAACAATAATAATGGAAATAATAAAATAAATAAACTATACGCGCTATGTAAATTAATTTGCCATTGTGGTTATCAAATATATGATGAAGAGATTTATTTGGGGCCTAAGTTAATCACTAATTAATGTGAGAAGATTGGCATGTATAGATATAATTAAGAAAATTAAGTACCATTAATTACAAAGATTGCAAATCTGCTGAGATAAAGGAGTGGGAGCCATCTGGCCCACCTAGGATTAGGGAGGGAGG